AACGTGTAACCACTACGGCAGATGATAATGTGTAATCACTATGACAGGTCCTAACAGTGTAACAAATACGTAATATGCTAACATGTAACCATTACGGCATATAACATGTAATCATTACGGCAGATAACATGTAACCATTACGGCAGATAACATGTAATCATTACGGCAGATGATAACGTGTAATCATTACGACAGATGATAACGTGTAACCACTACGGCAGATGATAATGTGTAATCACTATGTCAGGTCTTAACAGTGTAACAAATACGTAATATGCTAACATGTAACCATTACGGCAGATAACATGTAATCATTACGGCAGATGATAACATGTAATCATTACGGCAGATGATAACGTGTAATCATTACGAGAGATAACATGTAACCATTACGGCAGATGATAACGTGTAATCATTACGACAGATGATAATGTGTTACCATTATGATAGGTCCTAACAGTGTAACCAATACGTAATATGCTAACATGTAACAACCACGACAGATGCAGACATGTAACCATTACAGCAGATGATAACGTGTAACCATTACGACAAATGATAACATGTAACCATTACGGCATATGATAACGTGTAACCATTACGATAGATGCTGATATGTAACCATTACGACAGATGATAACATGTAACCATTACGACAGATGCTAACATGTAACCATTACGACAGATTATAACATGTAACCATTACGACAGATGCTAACATGTAACCATTACGACAGATGATAAAATGTAACCATTACGGCAGATGCTAACATGTAACCATTACGACAGATGACAACATGTAACCATTACGATAGATGCTGATATGTAACCATTACAGCAGATGATAACGTGTAACCATTACGACAGATGATAACATGTAACCATTACGGTATATGATAACGTGTAACCATTACGATAGATGCTGATATGTAACCATTACGGCATATGATAACGTGTAACCATTACGATAGATGCTGATATGTAACCATTACGACAGATTATAACATGTAACCATTACGACAGATGCTAACATGTAACCATTACGGCAGATGATAAAATGTAACCATTACGGCAGATGCTAACATGTAACCATTACGACAGATGACAACATGTAACCATTACGATAGATGCTGATATGTAACCATTACGACAGATGATAACATGTAACCATTACGGCAGATGCTAACATGTAACCATTACGACAGTTGATAACATGTAACCATTACGATAGATGCTGATATGTAACCATTGCGACAGATGATAACATGTAACCATTATGGCAGATGCTAACATGTAACCATTACGGCAGATGATAACATGTAACCATTACGATAGATGCTGATATGTAACCATTACGACAGATGATAACATGTAACCATTACGGCAGATGCTAACATGTAACCATTACGACAGATGCTAAAATGTAACCATTACGACAGATGCTAACATGTAACCATTACGGCAGATGATAACTACTATGTTACATATCACTGGGCTGCACTACTAATGTATCACAGTTGAATTGGGCTAATGTTTGTTACATTGCACAGACATGTGCACATTCGGTATATTCTGTTTCGCGTTATATTCTTGAGTATATTTACATATATGATTTTGAATTATGTAAAACTTAAGGAAAATAAGTTAAAAATATAGACACCATAATCATAACATAATCGTCGCACCTCAGTGTCAGTGTATATATTGACTTGATGTGGTTTTATTGTCACGGAATCGCATTTTAGTGGACTTGAAATGATTTTCAAAAGTGTTTGGCAGCTATGCCGTTGAGGGAAGCAAACATAAATGGGAATATGTCCACTTTTGTCGTACATGTCGTTGCTAACAACCATTGTGATAGTGTACCTGTAGTTTGATATCAATAACACGACAATGCAGTAATATTACACATACGTGTATTACGTTACTTACCATATAGTAATCTACCCGTGCACAATTACTTTGTATACCAATCTTTTATTCAACCACAGATACATTGTCCCGGATAATAGAAAAAACAATCCGACGATATATTTAAATCGGATAGAACGTATTTTTAAAAACATTTCATGGTCCGACGTGGATTTAAATCTATATATTTTTAAAAACTTTTACAGACAGCCTGACGTGGATTTAACTTTGATTTCCATATAATTAGAATAGTCTTCTGGTTCTGTCCAAATGAGAATATATCTAACAAATGGTCCAACATATCCCATGTGCAGTTGCGGCGGCACAGGGAGGGGGGCACAGGGGGCGATCTCCCCCTCGAAAATGCAAAATATACCCCCCAAAATGCATGAAATATGGTTTCAGAGGGTCTAGATTTCAAAATATTTAAGGGAAGAATGCCCCGGACTCCCTAGTAAGGTCGCGCCTTTGGTGCAAGTTTGGTGAGCAGATCTCGCCCCAAGCCGACAGAATTTCGTGCCACCGCCTCTGATGTGTTTCTATATAACTATATACCGGTATATTCACGATTTAAAGTGGATTTGATTTGATATATTGGATTTAAGGCTTTACGTACAATGCTCAATTTGGCTCAATAAATATGTTATCATTCACCTACCACCCACCACCCCCAAATCGCCTCTGAATTGTTTTAATTACCAATTCAATTCAGAACACGGTTACATCATTGCCTACCCTCATCAGATAGTATACAGCCTTCACTGGTATTGAGTCAAAGGATAAGAGTTGAACTTTTGTCTAATGAACCCAATTCTACTCTGACGTGACACTACCAGGGTAATTATACACCAGGGTAATTTGAAACAATTTATTGTTACGAAAGGAACTCGTCGAAAAGTGTCAACTTATACTCGCATGCAGGCTACACTTACACTGTAGAGACACTGAGTGAATCGACCCAAAGAATGCACACAAGAGGTTCATCACAAATAGTGAAGCATTTATTACTAACCAACACTTCGTCGCTGTGGTCGGGTTGCCAAATCCAATACATTTCTATGAAGCATATAGTTATATGGCAGTGAGGCAATACGTGATAGCAAGCCAGGGGCGAGACCACGTGATTACCAGATATCACGCTCATACCAGGCCTTTCACTGTTACAATACATTATACAAACTATATACTTATAAACATAAGAAAATACGCCCAAAACATGCAAGTTATTGACAAAAAAAATAACTTTATAATATCTTTTGGAAAGGCATACGTGTTTTTCCTATGGTTACACAAGTTCTCCAAATCTCCCTCCAGTCACGAAATATAACTTTAATGCGAGCTCGAGCTCTATAGATAACATGTGTACAATATATAAGAGTATCCATTTGAAAATAGGGCACTTCCGGTTAGAACACTTCCGGTTAATGGGCGTCATTTTGTTTGTTATTCGACAAATTGTGAAAAAAACGAAAACAGCTCATTGATGATAAAACATAATTAGAATGTTGTTCATTGATAATCCAACCAATTTCTGGCAACGGACTGGAAATATTTCAATTTTAAAGAGTGTTTCGACTCATTTTGATCAGAAATGGAAATCAAATGGCGCGTGTCGTCATTATGAATTGCGCTCAACTGCGCGTGAACCAATACTAGTGTAACTCGATTTCCGCAGTTCACACGCCTCGACGTTCCATGGTTACGTTAATTCTATTTTTTAGTAAATGAATAAACTTGCTAACCAGACATTACCTAATTATAAAATGTTAATATGTAGTATTTCTTAAAAGTTGTCATAAATCTACACCCCATTAGTGATTTTGGGGAATCTCTGTTTCATTCGGGGAAAATGTGTTACAATAGTGACATCACCTTATATAATATTTACAATAATGCATTGCGTGTTTCCTGCTTATATTATGCTTATATGTTTCATTTCAGTTAAAATTGCGTTTTACCGTCATTTTGAGAGGATATAAAAAATGTGTGGACAATAGAATTCGTTCCTAAACTGTGTGAATTAAAAGCAGAATGTTTCGAACTACTCTCAATTCACTTCATAACCAACAGTTTCCATGGAAACACTGTAAGCCGAAGAAAAGTTCATTTTCCTCCAGATTTCAAATAAGTAGTGATTCTACAAATTTAAAATGAAATATTTTACTAATTTTCTACAATTAATATTTTGTTTTGTATATTATACATAGCTATGGAACCAATCACAAATAATAGATAAATGATAAATTCACGCTCGACAGAAATCGTGACTTGCACAAATTGTGATTTTTTCAGAATTATAGTCACGGTGATTTTCGAAGGCTGTCATTGTTGCATGCTATTTTTTCTTGTCGCCGATTACAGCACCGTGCGTCAGAACCCCATACTTCTGTCAATTCTGTACGTAGGCAATTGATGCTACTCAGGTATTTTACTGAGATACCTGTGTCATCTATACAAGTGTTAGCATTCTTTCTTAAAATAAACAATGGCAACCATTCAATTTGTTAAGAGTTGTAAATAGACACGATACTGTAAGCAGACACGATACTGTTGGACACGAACTATAAACAGACATGATACTGTAAATAGACACGATACTGTAAGCAGGCACGATACTGTTGGACACGAACTATAAACAGACATGATACTGTAAATAGACACGATACTGTAAGCAGACACGATACTGTTGGACACGAACTATAAACAGACATGATACTGTAAATAAACACGATACTGTAAGCAGGCACGATACTGTAAGCAGACACGATACTGTAATCAGACACGATACAGTAATCAGACACAATAATGTAATCAGACACGATACTGTAATCAGACAATACTGTAACCAGACACGATACTGTAATCAGACACAATACTGTAAACATACACGATGTTGTAATCAGACGCAATACTGTAAACAGACACGATACTGTAATCAGACACAGTACTGTGAACAGACACGATACTGTAATCAGACACAATACTATAATCAGACACGATACTGTAATCAGACACAATACTGTAAACAGACACGATACTGTAAGCAGACACAATATTGTATGACATGAATAGACACCTGATGACAATTTTTATTTTTGTTTGGCATCTTTGATTACAAGTTGTTGAAGTTCATTGTCTTCTTTTTTGGTTTTATTTGACCAACACGATGCGATAGCTACGATGAGCGATGCAGCAAGAACGAGAGCCGCTCCAACGAAGTCCAACACATCTAGTACATTATTCAAAACGAAAAGATCCAATATATAAGTGATGCAAATTTGAACTTCACCTATAAGAACTACTGTTGTTGCAGTTTCCAGCTGTAGTGCACTGAATAGACTCCAGTCAGAAAGAGTTACGAAGATACAAGCACCTAACAAGGACCACCATGCAAAACTAGGCAAGTCCCAATCCTGTGAAGTCGTGATAAATACAAGTATAATAGCATTCAACAGAGCTGATATGATTCCATAGTAAAACATAGTAGTAATCGGATGTACAGACTCCCCAATGGAGCGGGTAATCAATAGCGATGTGGCTAATCCAATTGAACCAATGGCGGCGCAGATGTAAGCGATGTCTTCCTCGCGTGCTAATTCAGGATTTCGCGGCTGAAGAAAAAAGTCCGGTCTTGCAATCATTAGTACGCCGAGAACAACGAGGAAAAACGCAATAATATCAGTGCAGCGGCATTTTTCTTTAAGACACAGCCATGAAAAAATCGAAGTTATTATTGGGATGCCTCCGTAAACGATGACCATGATGTTTCCTAGAGGCGCTCTTGGCAAGGCGTAGTAAATTGCAATCTCTGCTAACGCTCGTATCATCCCATTACCCAGTATCAAGAAAGTATCACAAAAATTGTCGGAGGAAATGGAAATTTTCTTAATGATAATCGCTATGACAGCGACTATAGTGACAACTAATTGCGTAATAAACGCAATCTGGAATTGAGAGGCTCCTCCATTTTGTGCCCATATAATAAACATAGCACCAACAGCACTGCATACACCATACAGAAAAGCTAGTGCAATGCCGACCCAGGAGTTAATTGTTCGGTCTTGAGTTGATGTCGCGTTTTTGTCTTCTTCGTTACCCATAGTTTCTAGTTGATTTGTGTCCTTGCCTAACTTGCCCATGTCATTGCCTAACTTGTCCATATCATAATAACCACTGCGTAAATCCATGATTAGTTTTCACTAAATGCAAGTATCGAATCGTCTAAATACGTCCGTAGCGTTGTCTCCTCTGCCAAGCTTTGCATAGAGTCTGCACATAACACGCAGTCTACATCATAACCACACCGGCATATTGTTGCAATTTCTATTTTAGTTTCTAAATGACCCCTATATTCTTTAATGTGTCACGGGTATGTACGTGCATGGCAGTCCTCACTAATATTTTATACTAATATGTGTCATCTATAACAATACATTGATAGTAAGTGGATGACGTCATCGGTAACCGCATAACTCATTACGGTTAAGGGTGGACACATTGCGGCTATTCGGTAAAACGTCACAACGGTACCGCACAACGAGTCACTGTTAAAGAGGTTGATGTCGTCTTTAAGCGCATTTCAATTTAGTTTTATTAAAGTCATGAACACCTAGGTACAAACCATTATGAATTGACTACACACCCAATTAAACAGAACAAACACAGCTTGCCAATGATTCTAAAAAACAATTTCATTAAATTGTGCATTGGACCGCAAAAATTCACGATCTCGAATTTATTATTAGTCATCAACGTTTTTTTCCAATTTTTCGCTTATGTTGGGCCTAAAGCTATATAGATGGTATAAGTGAATAACAATTTTAAAATCTGAATTCAAGGCATGTTCTTCGACTCAATAACATATTGTTAAAAACGTGGTAAGATTAGCTGCTCTAAAACACGTAAGAACCTGACAAGGCTCGCGAGTTCTAACGTACTTCTGGTATAACGGAAGAATGAGTTTCAACTTACACCTCAGATTATGTTATCCTGAATTTTTAAAATGCTAATTTAATAATGTTATGGAATTGTTCCAAAAATAGCAATTTTTCAAATAAAATTTGGCTAATTTTCCCAAAACCAGAAAAGCTGCTGTTCCATGTTAACATGCAACTACAACACCATGACTATGCGCAATGAGTATCGACGTTGTCATAACATGATTTATGACAAACTTTCACGTATGCCTACCTTTCTTCAAAACGAATCGACAGACTCTGTTGACAGAATGTATTTGTGCCTTCAAACTAATTTAACTTTCCCAAAATGTATATCAATTTGGTTTGGGCAGATTTTAAGTCAGATAAAACCCCTGTACTCATCTGGGTTTGAATGCATAGCAACATTAAAATGCTTCGCGCTACAGCCTCGTCATTTTATATCGACTCGGACATTATATAAGAATGATTCTTCGTAAAGATACCGTGTTGCTGTGTTTATATTAACTTGACGGACAACACTGTGAGTAAACTATGTAAGCACTGAACATGCATGCGGTGAGTACTGTCAAATAGTGAGTTGATGACCATATAAAAACATATAATAATGTCTAACAGTTACAGTCATGGCATTGAACCTATGCACTGAATCTTGCTTCACATTGACATAGCATTCGATGCGCTAGCCTATTTACACCTGGGTGGAGATGATTTTGTTGTTGTTGTTGATTTTCTAAGATTGTTTTTATTTAGTCAGGTCGTTTTCAATGTTGATCAAAAACTATGCTTTGCGCACCTCCGACCGTTGGTGACAATATGCGACCTCATACGAAAAATGTAGATCAATGTACTACAGCGTGACGTCACATCCGATGATTTCCATTCGTAGACTGATATACTGGTACCACGAGCGTGGATTTATTCTCAGATACACTGTTATTATTGTTGGGTTCAAGTCATTGGTTACCTCTGTATCACTGTCACTGTTGGCGTTAAACTCCTGGAAAAAAGACACAATGACAGCGATGCGATTGTAAATTATAATGTGAGCATCGAAAGTTCAAACAGTCTATGTTTAACCAGCATTCTTTGCGAATTTTACATATTCGAACATAAATAATATTCATAATAGTCGGTATTGTGTCGTAGTTTTAAAAACCGACAAAGAATATCATCAATTGAAAGATGAAATTCATTTTTATATCTTCAGGTTTGTAATATTATTATATAATGACTACGTACCATGAGTTCGTCAAATTCGTCTCTGTAATTCTGCCATTGTAACCCATCATCACTGTAGGCGACGACATACGTTTTAACCCACATATCCAAAGCAGACGGTGATTGGTTCCTGCCCTGTGTTATGATAGCATATACTTCCTTGGTTCCTTGGAAATAAACTTGTATCCACTGTGCTATATCTTGACTGTCTGCTTGCCAGCCACCGCCGTGTACGCCTTCCACGAATAGTGTATTCAAACGACCAAAATAAGGAGCAAGAGTTGAGCTAGATTGGTAAGTGGATGAAGCAGTTATCTGGTCATCATTTATGGCATATGACTCCATTCCGAGTGCTGATGGAACACAGACTGTGGGTGGGAAAGAATAACATAATAACCAGATTACACTGACAATGTAGTAGTAGTAGCTGACATATTGAAATGTACCGAATTTCCCTGATATCCAACGTAAAATTTGACATTTGGCATTTGTCTGTATAGAGTTTTGGAGGACTTAACGTGTTTGAAATAAATGTCAAATTAGACACATCTTTACTTCCTGTCCTGTAGAAAATACTGTTAGACAACTAATAACCTTCCTTAATTGTACATTCAAGAAAATTACTATGAAGATAGTCTATACATTCAAATAATCGTTGCTTTCCTTAAATATGATCAATTTTGGCTAGAAAATATATTATTCGGCAACTCATTTCCTGGTGATCTGATCTGAACTGAATACAGAGAATGACTAAAATGCACGCGAGACCGAGGATTCCCGTTGTGTGTACTCGGCCATTCGCAAAATTCGGTAAAGCGCAAGCCACCAGCATAGCCAAGACACACGTTTGCAGTGGGTTAGGCCGATTGACACCTCTAAACAGTAACGCAGAAGTAAACAACCCATTCTGAAAATGAAACTTACCGCCTGGCGTAGTGGGCGTAGTTGTACTAAGCCAGTCAACCGGTGTCGTTCTTAGAGTTGTCATGGAGATGGTAGTTTGCTGAATATTAGTTGCTAAAATAAAGTCAGTATATTGAAATGAGAGTTATGAACAAAGTATATCATTATGATTTTAGTCAAGTGTTCATATGTGAATGCATATCTTTATGTAAACTGAATTTTACAGCCTGATAGACCGGGCCTAGCTTTTATATAACCTCATTTTAATGTATGAGACCACATAGCGGTAATTGGAAGACTTATAGATTGACTAGATTGTAATTAGACTATCACATTGACATTTTCCACCCTGGTTACAGATTAAGCACAGTCAACAGAAAACAACATATGTTTGGCAAGTCATTTAAAACAACCTGAAAATCAGAACAAGTCATAATCAGAATACTGCAATCAATGAAGTGAGTTGATTATTCTGCTTCAGCTATCTCTAAACATTGATTAATGATGCTAGAAGCACTGAGACCTGTGGTGCACTAATCTGAAAATTTCGACGTGTTGACAGTCATATTATGGGATAGATACAAGCCACGATACAACAAAATAACTGCCGAAGGGGACAGCTAAAAGATAGTTGTTATACTATTAGGTATAATACACATATTATCGTTTGATTTTAAGAAAGATATTCGTTGGTAATATTTGGAATATGTAAAGTAGAGAACTAGAATATATACACTGACATATGACGTCACTGGAAGTCAAACAAATTACACAAGGAATGGCTTTTCTATATTCTTAATACGAAATAATGTTCTTGTTCGTCAGGAAAGGGTTTTAAGTTACCAAAACCATGGTCTGTATAATATACGGTCTATACTCACAAATATTAAAGGCCTTCGGCCCATAAAGTGATTACAAAACAAAGAACATTTGTGCGTTTGTACAGTAAATATTACAATAAATCTGAAATTTCGTATCTAACATTTAATGTATGAAATACATATTCACCAAGGCGTTTCAAAATGACATCGTCATGTGATTTCATTAAAAGAATAAATTTGTTGAAAGACGGTGGATCATAGAAGTAACGGGG